TGCACACTGATATGACAGCTGTCACGATACAATCTAATAACATTGTTTCAAATGAAGTCAGACAACTCAGCGCTACTGGAACCATTATATAGAAAAAGACATAACAGACTTTTTGGCCAACCTCATACTACCCCCTAAAAACAATTTGTTATTATTCAACCTAAAGCTAGAGAAGCAGCTGGAAGTTATATAGCAGACTTTCTTGTAGTAAAATAATTCCAAAAGCACTGCTCTTTTTGATTGCCTATACCTAATCCAATGGCTCATTTTCTCCCACTCCCCACGTCTACACACATCAATCTCATCAAAGTATTTATTAATCAATTAATGCCTTTGCTCTGGCAATGAAAAAGACCTCTTATCAGCTCCTATCTTTTTCCAACCAGTCACCATCAAAATAATAATGCTTGGATTATAGCCAGAGCAGAGGAAACAGTCAAGTATATAATGACCTCATGTGGCAAAGGAGTAGAACTACTGATTTAACTATGAAATAATCAGGGGCTTAAACTTGTTATCAAATTATTTCCATATTATGTCTTTAAATGGGCATTAAATACTGCCTAGAGTTAAGGATGAAAAGAAAAATGACCTCAGACATGAACAAAAAGTGGAGGTAAAAAATAGAGCCATTTACTTACTAAAATAAAAGAAACCCCATGCTAGAGACAAAATATTTGGGTTCTTGTTTCAGTTTTAATTTTGGTAGTTTCTTGAAAAATCCCTTAGCCTCTCATATCTATGAAATGGTGGTAATTTTTTTTTACCATAGCCTTTTAAGGCTAAAAGATGGCTCTAATGAATGTTCTATCTTGTATTTATGACACTTTTATCCCATTTATGGTATTTATAATTCTATGACTAAAACATTGTAAACCTCATCATAAATACTGAACAAAAAACTGAAGTATTTTTACCTAGTTTGTCTTCCAATTGTCACCTGTTAATTCTAGTGCAATGGACATTGGTTGGTATATTACCTGTTTTATTCTAGACATGGAATTAAAACTGAATTCATTCAAAGCATAGCCATGTTGGTAATGAAACTCTTTGAAGACAGTCTTTTCTATTACAGTTTAAGTTAAATATTTTGTATGAGTTTCAGGTGGAGGATAGTCTTAAGTCTTAAAATACTTCATATTTATCTATTTGAAATCTGATAAAAACAGAACTGGATACGAATTCCTTGTGAAATCCCCGAACCAAGCCCAAATCTTCATTGATAGAAATATCCTGAGAACATCAATGTCATATTAAGTATTGTAACTCATTAAACATAGTTATAGAGCTGCAACCTCAACATTCTAAAAAAAACGTAGGAGAAAAAAAGGAGTAAAACTGAGTCAAAGTCAAATTACATACACATCCTTCACTTAATGTGTCTGTAACTTATTCCTGAAATCACGCTACAAAGTAGAAGGCTCTGGATGAAAATCTTTTCTGTTAAGTCTAATAAGGTATATTATATGAGATTCCAAGGTCCCCCCAAGTGTCAACTGACTACAAACAAGTTTATAGGCAATAAACACTATAATTGTCCATGAAATATACTGCAAAGGTTTACTGTACTTGCCAAGGGGGAGAACTTGGATTGCAATTTGATGGAGGAGAGGAATAAAGGAATCATTCTTTGGAAGGTAAATTCCGCTTTCTGAATCATATCCTCCAGCCAGTGTTCTAGCCATTTGGATACTAATGGTTATCTTGCATTTAAACTGCACTTAACATTAAATTATAAACACAAATACCTTTCAGGAACTCCCAAACACATAGAAATGACATCTGTCCATATCAGACTAGAGCCCCAGAAGATGCAACATTGTCAATCTAAACAATTGGATGTACAATTCAAATGTGTTTAAAATGATAATCTCTGTGAAGAAACTGTCAAGTAAGTGAATTTTGTCTAAGATGGTCATATTTATACTGTTTTTTATTGCATACTTGTTTAATGTACTTTAGAGTAAGAAGTCTTTATACCCAAGGAGAAAAAAGGATGATTTTTCTGAAAAATAATGTAACTTTTCAAAAACTGTTATGGCAAAAAGTTATTAACTGAACAGTTTTTATTGGGAAAGCCAGTATTTAACATTTAGGACATTACTGATCTCAGTACTAATACATTTTGTAATTAATGATAACATCCCAAGGCACTACAGAGTAAGGAAAATAATGAATTATATCAAAGTTGTTTCTACTTTTCAATATTTTTCTAACTGAAGATAAGAAAAAATAATTTCATTTTACACATAAATTCTTAAAAAAAAAAAAGAAACCTTATTAGGATAGCTTCAAAAGCCCCACTGTATTGCTAAACCTAAGAGCTCATGCTCTAGCAAACACAAATTTATCCAACTTCAAGACTTAGTATATAGAAATCTACAGCAATCAAGATACTAGGATATTGACAAAAGAACAAACAAATAGATCAGTAGAACAGAACAGAGCCACAAAAAGACCAACAGTCCACTGATGTTCAACAAAGGAGCAAAATCAATACAATGAGGGAGAGACCGTCTTTTTAACAAATGGTGCTGGAACAAATGGACATCCACATACAAAACGAGCCTAGACACAGACCTTTCACCCTTCACAAAAAGTTAACTAAAAATGGACTATGGGTGTAAAGCTAAAACACATAATTATAAAACTTCTAGAAAATAACTTAGGAGAAAACCTGTATGACCTTAGATATGGCATTTTAGATACAACACAATGAACAATCTATAAAAGAAACTGATAAGCTGGACTTCACAAAAATTTAAAACTTCTGCTCTGCAAAAAACAATGTCAACAGGAGATAAACCACAGACTGGGAAAAAAATATTTGTAAAAGGTCCACGTAATAAAGGACTGTTGTCTAAGATAGTCAAAGAAGTTTTAAAACTCAGTAAGAAAATGAACCTGATTAAAAAATGACAACAGACTGACCTTAAGGCTCCTCACCAAAGATACACAGGTAGCAAATAAGCATATGAAAAGGTGATTATTATATGTCATTATGGAATTGCAAAGTAAAGTGAGTTACAAACACATACCTATTAAGAATGGAACTGGTCCAAACCACTGACACCACCAAATGTCGGTTGGGACGTGAAGGAACAGGAACTGTCATTTACTGTTGGTAGGGCGGCAAAACGGTATGACCATTTTGGGAGAGTTTCTTAGAAACCTAAACATACTCTTAACATATGACCCAGCAACGGCACTCCTGGGTATTTACCCAAATGAACTGAAAACCTACATTCACACAAAAACTTGCACACAGATGTTTATAGCAGCTTTATTCATAATTACCAAAACCTGGAAGCAACCACTTGTCCTTCAGTAGCTGTGTATAAACAGTGGTACATTTAGACAACGAGCTATTATTTAGCACTAAAAAGAAATGAGCTATCAAGCCATGAAAAGACTGAGAGGAAAACTAAATATAAATTCCTAAGTGAAAAAAGCCTATCTGGAAAGTCTACATACTACTCAACTATATGACACTCTAGAAAAGGCAACCACGGAGACAGTAAGATTAGTGGTTGCCAGGTCGGGGTGGGGGGACGGTCAAAGCACAATGCACGAAGGATTTTTTAGGGCAGTAAAACAATGTGGTGGATACATGTCTTTACTCATCAAAACCCATAGAATGAACAGTGAGTAAACCCCAGTGTAAATGACGGACTGACTGAGTGATGTGTCAGTGTAGGTTCAATGAATGCAACACACGCACCACTCCAGTGGGGATGTCCAGAGTGCAGGAGGCTGTGCCAGGGCAGGGGCAGAGACTATATGGAAACTCTACTTTCCACTTAATTGTACTTCATATGAGTCTAAAACTGCAATAAACAACACAGATTGAACATAAAATGCATTGTAAACATGTCTAAATAAAATCTATTAAAAGTTTTTAAAAGGAGAAATAAGATTGGTAAAATCCAAAAGGCCCATAGTTTAGTTGATAGTGTACCAAAGCCAATTTCTTAGTCTTGACAACACACTGGGGTAAGTAAGGGGGTATCTGGGTGATGGGTGTGCTGGAGCTCTAAAAATCTGGCAACTTTTTGTGAGTCAGAAACTATTTCAAAATGTTTTTTTTTTTATTTTAAAAGGAAAGATAAGATTTGTCAAATGTAGAAGGCTATTTTTAATCAGAATTTATAAATACCTTAAATAACTAATCAAGCATTTTTCTGGCAGTAAGATTTACATTACCATGTAAAAAACTTTGGTTTTCCTTGTCCTAAAAATTTGACCGACCAAATTTCTAGGGTGCTCAGTATACAGGGCTCTAAGTTTTAGGCACAGAAGATGAGAAATTCTGAATGAGGAAATAAGTCTAACACGATTAACTTCTTAGGAGAGCAAACTATAAAAAGTAGTGCATATACTTTAGTGGAAGATGATCTGATATGGAAAATAGAATCCAAGAAGTAATGCAGACCACTAAGCTCAATACTCTCATGCCTATCTAACGGGACAGCTTTTGAGTCATGACAAATACATTTCTTTAAGCTTCTTTCCAATTCCACAAATTTCATAAGTCCTAAATATTTTAAAGGTTACCAAAACCTCTGAATTGTCCCAACTTAAAGTAGAATCAATGTAGCCCTCAGTGTGCCTCAGCGGGTTGAGTGCCAGCCTGCAAACCAAAGTGTCGCTGCTTTGATTCCCAATCAGGGCATATGCCTGGGTGGTGGGCTAGGTCCCTGGAAGAGGGCGTGTGAGAGGCAACCACGCATTGATTTTTTCATCCCCTCTTTCTCCCCGCCTTCACCTCTAAAAATAAAATCTTTTAAAAGAGAGAGAATCAAACTGTAATTGAACAAAATAATTTAAAAAAATAGAATCAATGTAATTTATATAAACCATTGTCAGATTTTATACTTATATTTTTTCAAAGTAGAATTTTTATGTAAAAAGATAATTATTTTAATGTGTAGCTCCATTACAGGTCATCAGACTTATATTTATTTATTTATTTATTTATTTATTTAAAAAGATTTTATTTATTTAGTTTTAGAGAAAGGGCAAGGGATGGAGAAAGAGAAACACTGATGTGAGAAAGAAACATCGATCAGTTGCCTCTCGTACACACACCAACCAGAAACAGAACTGCAACCCAGACGTGTGCCCAGACCAGGAATTGACCTGGAGACCTTTCACTTTGCAGAACAACACTCCACAGAGCCACAGCAGTCAAGGCTATACTTATTTATTAACCAAATGTTTAATTTAGTAACCAAATTGATTTTGTTTACTAAACAAAAAACATATAGAATGAGAGTTTTAAATATGGTGATTACAGATTTGAAATGCAGTTTCCCTTTCAAAGTTCAGTACATCTAGATTGTTTAACCCACTAAATTATCTCAAGAAGCAAAAGATAACATTTTTAAATAGGAAATAACAGTTTCAAAGTAAAAGTGACTCTTCTCATTTCAAAAAAAGAATTTTTCTAAAATGTCAAGTAGAAACAGAAAGACATAGAAAAAAACACTTCATGCTTTAAACTAAACAAACTTGAAAAAATCCGTAATGATACAAAGAACTAAAATGAATCCATGCAGTTTTAAAAATTGTTAACTATTTTATTCTTTTTCTTCTTTATTTCCTAATATATATTAAAATGATAATGCTTTCAAGATATATAACATACAAAGCAAGATCATTTTTATCAGTAAATTATCTTAAAGGAGTAGAAATAAAACTTAAGGTGTAACCCTACAGAGAAGCAAAGCCAACTGTGAAGTGAAGATTAATCACAATGTTCTCAAAGTAGAAGTGTGAGACTTTAAAATAGCAGGCTGCCTAGTTCAGACAGTAGAGAAACCAGGAGGAGGCAGGAAATAACAGGTGGGACTAAGCAAGCTAAACTGCTAAGAAGGTAATCTACCTTGTCTTCAGTTTCTCTTTGACTTCTTACAAAGTATAAAGGTAATGAAAGAAGATATTTATTCCCAGTGCAGAGTCATTAAGAGTAAAATGGAGAAGCTCATCCCTTACTATGTCCCACTAATGTTTTACCTATAAAAATGAAAAGAAATGCAGGGAAAACTATTTCCGCCTCAAATGATTTAAAGACAATCATAGTTTAAACCAATCTTTAAACTATAACAGTACTATTTCCTCATTAAAAAAAGGTCTGAAAAGGAAGCAAGTAGTTAGCTACTTTAAGCTCTATATAAATTAAATCATTTACTCACATAATAATCTTCACTTATCTTTTAAGTATAAAAACATTTCCTCTTTAATCATCCAAAATACCATGCAAAAAGATGAAGTGTCACTCACAGCACAGATGTATCCATTACAAATGGGAACAAAACCTAACTTGCTGCTCTAGGAATGTATTATAGACACACTAATAAATATCAGTGAATCTATTAAATACTAAACGTGGTCTTATCTTCCACATAAATTGAGGTAGAATGGACCACAGTGGATCAAAAGTACTTACAACTTCTCAATTCTTTTTCTTGAGATTCCTTAAATTCCACTTTCAGCTTTTTGCACTAATTCACATAGACACATTACCATTTTCCATGTAACATTAAAGTTTTCCAGTTAAGAAATCAAGTTAAGGAACTGGTCAACAGTGAGATGAGAAACACCAGGAAAAAAGCCAACCTGCTAAGGAGGATAACAAAGGGGAAAGACAGAAGGATCCTGTGTCCTTTATGATACAGTTTGGCCACTATAATGATTCTAGAACCATCTACTTCCAGACTTGCCATGAATGATAACTAAATGTCCTTTGAGGTTTTTTTTTGACTTGTCACAATATTTAATTATCCATTTGGTCATTCACAAAAATTCTCAATGGTAATTGGTGGCTGTTGCTGTAATATTATATTGTCCATACTTCTTTTTTAAATTTTTTATTATTATTATTATTACAGTTGTCCCGATCTTCCCCCCTTTGCCATCCTCCATTGAGTCCACCCCACATTCCCACAGTCAATCCCCATACTTGTCCATGTCCATGGGTCATTGGAACATGTTCTCTGTCTAATCCCTTCCCCTTCTTTCCACCATTATCCCCTCATCTGCCCTCTGGCCCCTGTCAGTCTGTTCCATGTTTCCACGCCTCTGGTTCTGTTTTACTCATTAGTTATTTTGTTCCTTAGATTCCTCTTAAGGAAGAAGAAAGAAGAGGGAAGATGGAAGAGGGGGGAAGAGGGAAGAGAGAAGAGAAAACTGGTCATAAAATTTTATATAGGATTCATGAAAAAAGTTTTTTTCTTGGGACAAAAATGGTTAAAAACTTGGGTTTTCAAAGTCACATAAGGCTGAAGTATCTGGAGTCATTTCACTGCCTGTAGTCTTCAGCAAGATCACAAAGTACTCAAAAATTCTTTGACCTGAAGGAAGGAAAAATATATTAATATAATTATTTGACTAATTTGAGATATCTAATATTAATTTTCACTTAAAAGTATGTAATAATTGAAGACCCTCAACCACCACAAAGACATAGCATTTACTTTCAAAAGATGTATTAATACTTTAGTAGTAAAACTGAATGACCTAAAATGTAATTATAAGAGTCATTAAATTAAGCCTAAGATTGATACAGTTTTTATAACAGCCATAATCTCTAATTTTATAATTTTTAATTCTATAATCGCTACTTTTATCTCTTTATAATACCACAGACCACTGATATGTGTAGCTTTAACACTGATAACATTAATAATTGCAATGGTTTAACAGTTTAAACAACTCTGAAGGTTCAGACACATAACAGATTTGTAATTTTTCTTTTTTTGCAACACCTCTCCTCCCCCCCCAGTTAATTTTCTGCAATTTTTCTGAAGCACAAATTTAAATCTTGTGTATACTCTGTAATGTTAATGTAAGAGGAAAGGTCATTTAAGCAGTGATAATCTATCCAACTAAACAACATCACAGCAACAAGATTCTGTTCTCTACATATTCTGGACTACCCAGCAATTCTGCTGGACAGACGATTACTGCTGTGTACAAATACCTAAAGAAGAAAGCCAACTGCTACCATTATTAATGAAAATAAAACTAGATAATACAAAAATAATGATTCTTAGCCAAAAACAAACATTAAGATAAAAATTTAAAAAGTGGTTTTATAGCTTTATTTAGTTGAAATGATGGTTGGCTGTTATTTTAATAGTATCATTTAAGTGAATTCTAGTCTATATTTTTAACATCCTTTTTAGCAACAAAGAGGTCACTAGAATTGTCCAGATAGACTCCTTATGAATGTAAAGTACCTACTACAATATATAGCAGACATTTTGCAGCAGGAACAAAGAAAACTCAAATTTATCTCAAAACTAAACAAACAAGAAAAGTGTAGCTTCTTCCGATCTTGGATTCCTAAGTTAATTAATATGAATATAGGGATATTTGGTATATAATTCCCATTTCACCATTCTCTCTCAAGCATTTATCAACAGGTTCTCTTCCAGTCATTTTATTGATACAGTCACCACTCACTCAATAGAATATCCCAAATACGTGGGGGATAGATGAACTCTGATTAAGACAATGACTCAACGATTAGACAATTATAATTCATCATTGACAAGGCCCCAAATAGATTTCAAAAGTAAAAATTCTTTTATCTCAAGACTTCAGCTAATATAAAAATGGATGGGATCCATATCCTAGAATTTCAAATATCCTCCATATCAAATTTAGCTGAAAACAGTAAACAATTAGTTTATTATTAAAATGTCTAAAGATTGGTGTATAGGAAAGAGGGAAAGAAAAGGAAAAAGCAGAGAAGCAGGTGAGCAAGAACTTTTATGATATTCCTGTATCACATGTAAAAGAGCTAAAGAATTAATAAGCTCCTTATTTTAGCTAAGGCCACAAAGCTAGATTTTCAAGTTAGGATTTGATTCTAAATCCCTTTAAAGTTCTTAACTGTCCCTTAATGTAACTTTATGTAACCTTTTCTGTTAGAAATCATTTTTTTCAAAATTTACAACACTTTTTTAGACATAACAAAGATTAGTTTACAGTCTTTACATAAATATACCTCTTCAACCAGACTGTCATGCTTGTCTTTAAAGTCTTCATTAACATCCAGTGTTAAGATAGGCACTTCCTGTAGATAATCAAAGTTGGTTCTGTTTAAACAGAGATGAACAACACAATTAGAAAAAGCAATATATACGAGAAACACTAAAAACTCGTATCACTGAAAAATCCATCACTATTACTGTACAAGTACTTCATCTGACAGCCCCTTCATTCTCACCTAGATTTACTTACACATCTAAAAATCTCAGGTATAAAATACATAAAGCTAGGCACTGTGACATGTAATACTACTCAAAAACTAAACTCATACCATAAAGTAGGAAGAATGTTTGCATTTTAATGCTGAGAAAATGGAAGTTCAAGGAGGTCACTCTGAGACTCAGAGACTGTCCAAGGTCACACATAAGTAAGACTGGATTTTAACCAAAAACTGACTAGTGACAAAGTCCGCTGACTTTTAACAGCTATGCTATACTACCTCCCAAGTCTAGATCTAAGAGACAACTTTGAAATACCGGATCTTAAAACACTCTCTGAAAAATAGACCTAAATAATATACATAGATATATTTCCTACTTTATTACTTAATGTGAAATTCCATGTATTGTGCTGTCATTAATAGTAGAGGAGATCAGCTACAAAATCTTTAAGAAAATGGATCTCAATTGCAATAGAAGAATCAAAATCTACACCTAATTTTGACACAGCCTACGATAGTAATAAATAAATTGATTGAAAATAAAAAATGTACACCTTGTACATTTTAAATTAAAATTTGATAATGGCATTTAAAACAATTAGTAAATAAGAAGTCTTACTTTAGTGTCCTATGCAGGAGCCAGCTTTCATGCTTATAGTGAAGCTTCTCTAAATATTCAAGAGGAATGTCTTGCTCTTCATTTCTTCCCCGTAAATATATTCTGCTCAAGCATTTCTAAAAGTAAGCAATAAGATGAGGGGGACAATTATTCCTTTCTGATGCCATTAGAATTCTCTTCTCTAAATGTCTCTTTAGTCACATGAGCCAAAATCTTTATTCCTTCTAGAAAGTGGAAGTAGTTGCTGTTCCCCTCCCAGTACTTTTCACACCATTTACTGGCTCTAAATAATACAGTACTTTCAAAAATAAGTATATAAATTTCTGGCATCCATATTAGAAGTATACTGTCTAAAAAGAGTTTGGTAAAAATTTAAAAAGTTCAGCATAAATCTGGGCTTCTATTTTAAATTCTCTTTTCAAATAATTAAATGATCCTCTAATCAAAATATATCAAAAAATTAATGAAATAAAAGTTTTGTATTAGGCTTTAAGATACTGACTATAAATGTTCCCAACAATGAAATCATTAGTATTCTTTATATTTTTCTATATTTGCATTTACTATTTTCATAATTAAAACTTCTTTTCTAAAATAAAAGCAAATTTCAAAATTATTACTGTTAAATTCTGGTTTACTTGATATTAGAACAAAATCATCCCTTGAACTCAGAAACCTAGATTCTTTGAAAACTCAGCTTCAACATATTACAACCTTCTTTCAGGCTATAAGTCATAATATTTACATTCATAAAAACCTACTTGTCAGAGAAATAGAAATAAAAAACAGAGAAAAATGGGAATGCAAGTGCCAAAACCACAAAGTTCTTAATAACTGTGAGCTCTCATTTAGATGAGTTTTATGAAAGGCATCCACTTGGTCTTGCTGGATTCATTACATATTGGCCTATCTAAACAATAGCTATGTCACGACCTATCATGAAAACGCACATTTTCAAGCAAGCTCCCTTGACTAAAAACGGCAAGAGTCCACTAAGTCTTTTCTCTTTTGTAGCTGCTACTATCAATTCCAAGCCCAAACCCTGAAAGACATGCTCCATCAACTATGCCATTCATTCAGCAAATATTTACTGAGCTCCTACTGTGTACTCAAGCCTTATCCGAGGCACTGGATATTCAACAGTAATTAAATACCCAAAGTTAACCTCATGAAGCCTATATTCTAGAAGCTGCTTGAGCAAGTTTCTTAATACATATCTTAATCTAGATGTCTCTTACTGACCCTGCAAAAGTTAAAAAATAATAAACAGAACAGAGGAAGAACAGAAAAGGACCTAAACAAACAACTTGCTAAATCTGGGCTTTCAGTTTGCTGAGAAAATAGAATGCTTCTATCTACACTATTGTGAGTTTCTAATTTGGAAGTGGGAAGCTAGAGGTGGGGAATGAGCTTCAACTAAATTGCCTTAACTGCATTACACTGAAAAGATTTCTAAATATTACTTTATATTTTCAAAGGGACAAACATTTGCCTGACCTCTGGAGTGGCTCGAAGATAAATGATTCCATCCAGTTCAAGGCTTTGGCCAAACTGGTTATTCATCCAGTCATGCCAGTCTTGATAAATTGTCCACTCCGTTTCATTCATACAATCAGACTCATACAAATTAGATGCAAAAATATACCTGAAAGAGAGCTTACATCAACACAAAAATTCTTTCCAAAAAGCACAGAGAAACAGAAAAGACAAAATAGATCTACTAAATGGAGTGTTGGATAATGTTTTGGACAGCAGAAAAAACAATAGCCTATCTGCAACTACAGGAAGTGATGTTCTTGGCCAGTGGTTCTCAAAAATGTGGTGTAAGGACCCCGGGTAGACCCCAAGACTCTTCCAAGGGTTCTGTGAGAGGCCAGATCACTTTATATACTATACTTCAACCAAAAAAATATATTAAAGAGATTGAATATAAAAGCATTAATGAGAACTCAGCTGTCTTCTATTAAATCAGGCATTAAGAGATTCAGATATAGCAGATATTAAACCAGATATAAAAACATGAAATGATGCTATTCTCACTAATTTTTTATTTTGAAAATATAATTTTCACTAATATGTTATTTATGCTTACATGTAATGGGTTTATTATCGTTAATTTTAAGTAATTTTTTCTATTTTTCTATCTTAATTTATAATAAAATAAATATGAATAAGCCACCAAGTTCTTTGGGCTCCTCAATAATTATTAAGAATGAAAGGGGCCCTGAGAACCTCTGCTCTGAGCTAACTCTAGAGGTTAAAAAAATCCTTGCAGAAGCAGGGTAATTCCAAGACCCCCTGAGAGATTTTTTTAAATCTCTTTGCTGCAGATGAGTCTAGAATATAGATTTAGATTTAACCAGAGCAGATGAGAATTTTAAGGTTAGAGAAAAAAATTTCTATGCAAATTGGAATGAGATGGCCCCCATACAGCACCAAACTGCTAAAAGGATTAAATGTCATTTTCCATCTCAAATCCCCAACTCAGCCTCTCTGATTATTTGAGTCCCAGAAAACAGAAAAAAATCCCAGTCTTAAACCAAGGTTCCAAACTAGTAAGTACAAGTCACTTATATATACCTGTCACTATATACAGATCGCTCAAAATAAACTACAGGTTTCTCCACGTCTTTGAGCTTGCCGTTCAGAGCAGCAAGCTGAGCTCGTATTCGACTGAGGCAGGCATAAGACTGGAAGGTAAAAGACCATCGCTCGGGTTTCTCATACATCATCTGAAGCACATTCCCACCACTTTTCTGAGATGTTGTCAATTCCTATTTTGAATTTGAAAAAAGAAACAAAAAACAAAGTTAACAGTCAATAGGCTTAATTTCTTTAAAAGCTCAAAAAGAGAAGTTAGATAAATAAATGCATCATGATTAGCAAAATCAAAATGAGTCAGTCCTCTACTTCTTTCTCATTTCCACTGTATTTTTCAGGTTACCTGAGGCTTAGAAGAATTTGAAAAGCTAGCTTACCCACCAATTCCTTAGTTTTTTTCATAAGAAGTCACAAACAGCCTATGGCAGAATGTATTTGTCTGGCCCAAATTGGACTTATAAGAAATTTAAATTTGTTGTCAATATCTAAAAGCTAAATAATTTCATATAATATATCTGGATGTATATTTTCCTTTTAAAATGGAAAAAAACAAGCAATATACTGTGCCTGTATTTCCTCTTGGTAAACATCACCTATAGCAAAGTCACAGGTGCTTTCCAGTTCATAAGCACCACCATTCCCTGTTGAGACTCAAAAGCCTGATTTATTTGTTTAGATGCCCCTTTCAGTATTTGAATCTGTGACCCTAATCTTCTAATAAAACAGAATAGATCCTCACCAAATCTGATTCAATAATCATAATGTAAGAATCAGTATTTTCAGCATAAGAGAAAAATGTAAAATTAAAAATCTAGTAAATTCTCTGTAATCTCACATCTGAATTGGAAATAGCATCAAGAAATTATTAATTTTCATGATTTTTCTTTTTATTTTTATTAATTATTTTCCTTTCTACATAGTTTGCCTAGCTCTGTAAACTAAAAGGTCTACAGAAATAAACATAACATGACAACCCCGTAGAAATAACTGGAACTGCCATGCAGATTACAATCTCTAAGTATCATTTTCCACTAAATTAGGGTCACTGTATCTGATTCCAGGTCTGTGGAAGGAAATGTACAAAATGAGCTTAACACATATTGTTTTGGGAAACAAAGAAACTATTAAACATTACTGAGGTTGTGCCAAGAGCAAAAGAGCCAATGTGAAGGGGCTTTCGGTAGTTAAAACGTAGGGCACAGAAGGAATAACAAATGAGAGGCAAAAACCCATTAAGTTCATAATACTAAAGAAAACCAGAAAAAGGAAACAAACTCTCCAGTCATCTTTGAAAGTTGCTAGGGCACCAATTAATTATTCTGAAAATTTGTAGATGAAAAAATACACGCACGCACGTGTGTGTGTGTGTGTGTGTGTGTGTGTGTGTGTATACTCTCAAACATTTTACTCTGGCCATTTCTGTACAAATACTATTTCAGGTTAATGAAGTAATGAATGAAAATAAAATCTTCTTTACTGAAGAATCTCAACTAATAAATTCAGAAGACTTGAAAAAATATCTTTTGCAACATCTTAATGATATATTGGATTGGGGTGATAATTAGCAATGGATGCTAAAATCATTAGAGAAAACCTGATCGAAAGTTTTATAATGTGTAAATCAAGCTGAAGGATTGATCAATTTTAACATCACAAAAATATTCTCCAGATGGAACTGAAAGAAAATATGCATTACCACCTAAGAAGTCTTACAAAAAGAGAACTGAAACTAAATCTAATCAAGTCTGTAAAGATTTAACTATAAATTTACAGGAAATACAGAGAATTGAGAAACATGTTAAATTATACCAAAGACACACTCAGCCAAAACCAGAATGAGGGGAATTGTACAAGGGCAAATGAACCAGTTTCTTTAATTAAAACTACAAAGAAAAAAAGAGGAAGAGGGAACAATAGGTTAAAACTTCAAAGACAAATTAACCAAATACAACTTGTGAACTTTGTCTAACTCATCAACAAATGTAAAAAAAATTATGAGACAATAGAGAAATAAGAACACAGACTGGATGTGATGATACAAAAGAATAATCTTTTAGATAGTTTTAAACAATCTTTATTGTTCTAGAGTTCTTTTTATTGAGCCTTTAATTTCTACAGATGAAGTAATGTATTACTGACAACAGAGGTTCTCAAAGTATAGTAAGGGAACCCCTAGGGCAGGGTGTCCAACCTGTGGCCCACAGGGCACAGTCAGCCCAGATGGCTGTGAATGTGGCCCCACACAAAATTTACTGTCTTAGTAAATTTACTTAAAACATTATGAGGTATTTTTTGTGATTATGTGTCACAATGTATTTAATGTGTGGTCTCTTCTTCTGCCAGGGTGGTACAGAAGTCAAAAGGTTGGACACCCCTGCCCTAGGGAGTCCCAGAGATCCTGGCAGGGAGTCTGCAAGCAAACAAAAACTACTTTTATAATAAGTATACCTTTTTCCATTCTCATTCTCTCATGAATGTATAGTCGTTTCCCATAAACTAACTACACGACACATATACTCCGGCAGTTCAAGTGCAAAAGTTAATTGGCATTGGCATTAAGCTAATTATTGATGAGAAAGGAGGAGCAAAGGGAGTTAGACATTGAGTTTAGTAAACTAAGGAACATAAGCCTGCTTGCTTGGCCAGGAAGCTACAGCTTCACACTGCAGGGCATCACAGTATTTTTCTGCCAACAAGATTAACTCCTCCCTTCCCCACTCCAGTTTAGGACTATTAAGGGGCACAGAGGGAGCTGCTGGACCAAAGAGGCCTGTCAGTCTAGCATAAAGAAATAAGGGATTGGTTAGGAGGCAAAGCCCTCCTCCAAGGTCTGTGAAAGTCTGGAAAGTTGACTGGTTCTTTTGAAAAAGGACCTGGTCTGTCTCACAGCCAAGCTAATATAATCCTAGGGGAATAAAGAAGCTCTCCCTCACTCAGAAACCCACGCTTGCCTGGTGAGCTCAAATGTTTTCCCTGTGGCTTTAGCAGCCACCTGGCAAGCAGCCATACAGACTCCGCCACCGGAGCAGACAGGAACAAGCTAAACTACCTGGATGACGATTGAGGTTACTCAGCAGTCACCTGCAGGCTCCAAAAGGACTAAACCAGCATGAGCACTCTTGCGCTCGCTGTCTCTTTCTTATGATCATCCCTCATCCCATGCACATGCATGGCCTCTCTCCATAGCCATGTGGCCCTAGCAGCCACAATGGCCCAGGGTTCTGCAGACCCCAAGTGGAGGCTCCAGGAGGGAACCCGAATACCACAGCACAGCAACGGGCTGCATTTGGAACGCTAGTTTAGCATTCACACATGCTAAACAAGGCAGATGCTGGTCTGAACTATAATTTAAAATGGAACAGAAACTCTGGACAATGGCTTTTGCTTTAGCCTTGCTGAGGACAAGATTGGATGTTTCCATGGCAAAACAGATGGAGATGGGACATTCGGAAGTCAGGTAGAGAACCCCCCTAATTTTACATCAATAAAGTGTACCATGAGCCCTGGCTGGTGTGGCTTAGTTGGTTGGAGCATCATCCAACCAACTGAAAGGTTGAGGATTCAGCTCCTAATCAGGGCACATGCCCAGGTTGTTGGTTCAAACCTCAGTCTGTGAGCATATGGGAAGCAACCAATCAATGCCTCTCTCATGCATCAATGTTTCTCTCTTCTTTCCTCTCTCTAAAAAAGGAATGAAAAAGTGTCCTCGAGTAAGGATAAAAAAGAAAAATTAAAATAAAGTTTACCACAAAAACTCGTGTCCTCATGTGTGGGTCTCAGGAAATTCTTTTTCTCAACATACCACAAGAACTTGTTTTCCACTAATAACAGAGGCAGGTATGAGAATTCAGCTTTTACTATTTAGTCAAACCTTAATACTTGCACAATAGAAAACAATGTTTTTTCACTAAATTTTTTGGTTTTGGAAAAGTTGTTTTTCATAAAAATGTTATTTGTATTAATATGCAATAGATTACTGTGATTTTTAAATGAATTAACTGACTGAAAAACTTCAAAGTTTCAAGTTCAATTTCTAATGTAGTAAATATTGATAGATCTGACATAGAAGCTCTTTGGTTCCTCGATAACAAAAAAAACATATATAAGTTGTTTAGTTAAGAAACTTTACCTTTTAAATGGTGCTATCTTGTGTCTTAAAATAATTAAGAGCTCACAAAATTTATCTAGTCAATAAGTGGTTTTACCTCCTAAAAACATGACATATACAGTATCTGCTTCAAATATCTTTATTACAGAAGTATAATATAGTTACATATTCTGATAAATGATTTAGAAAAATACCCAATTAAATCCCTAACTTAAAGTACTGTATTGGCCAATAAGTCCCTTTAGTTTTTTCCATAAAATAAAAAACACATTTTTCATTTTCACCAATAATTTGATTGATTTGGACATTTTGAGTATGTCCACTTTCTTCCATGTGGTATAACATTGATTGTTCTAAATTAATGTCCAAATTTGATCACTATCAACTTCAATTCGTCTACCTGAACAAGGAGCATCACGCAGAGAGAAATCTCCAGCACAAAACTTCGCAATGCACTTTGGACACGTTCATAATATGCCAAAAATGTTGTATATTTCCTTTCACCTTCAATATCAAAATGGCTGCACAAAAACTCACCAATTTTGCCTTGGCTGGTGTGGCTCAAAGGACTGAGTACTGGCTGACAAACCTAAGGGTCACCGGTTCGATTCCCAGTAAGGGCACATGCCTGGGTTTGGGGCCAGGTCCCCAGTAGGGGGTGCATGAGAGGCAACCACACATTGATGTTTCTCTCCTTCTTTTTCCTTCCCTTCCTCTCTCTCTAAAGATAAATAAAATCTTTAAAAAATTTTTAATTCACCAATTTTGATGTTTTTTTAATTGCATGCTGAGATGACAACTGTCACAATACAATCTTACAAAATTGTTTCAAATGAAGTTAAAGACAACTAAGTCCTACTACAGCCATCTTACAGAAAAAAAAAAAACAAAGAAACAAATTTTTGGCCATCCCAATATTGTAAAAGTGGAACCTAATCAATATAATCAGTGAATTTTTAAAATATGCATTAAGGTTATTTCAAACTATAACATTCTCTGGAGATAATAAAACTAAGCCAACTTCTTGACAATAGATTAAGTGGTAATTTACATTAATCATCTTCC